TGGCTTGGGTTAGTCATAGTGTGACAGCACCACAGACTTTGTGTGTGATCAATTCGAAGGCATCGTTAATGACCAGGCTGTTACCGAGACTAGCTCTTTACTGCAAGCCCGCTAACTTGTGCTGATACCCGCTGGGTAAAGGTCCTGTTTAAGTATGTGGCAGAGCAGTGTTCATCCGGCAATGATGTGGACTGACACTCACACGGCACATTTTTGAAAGTCGGCTCTGTGTAAAGGATGTTGTTTTAGGGATTCAAATACCATGCATATATACACACACCACTGTAGGCTGACCAAATCACGAGGAATGTTCCCAATCTTGTCAGATCTCAGACGATAAGGAGGTTTGAGCCTAAGCAGTGTTTGGATGGATGCTCACCTTGCATATTTGTCCAGGAAGGCCACACTGAGTCTTTGGACTCTTTTCCAGGAGGGTCTCACTGCTACATTGGCTTTTATTGTAAGTTGTTGTCAGCCAATTAATGATGAGTTGTGTCTACACAAAGCGGTGGGAGGAAACCGGAGCTCCCAGAGACAATCCACGCGCGTGAGGGGGCAACGCTGTATCCCCATACCGATGAAACAGATGGCAATAAGTCCACTTGCTGTACTGCCTTCTCCTGGCGAGCCAGTGTACGGCACCTCCTCGACACCCACGGGTAGAAGGGAGTTTCACAACATCTATGCGATGATCCACCAACCCCCGATGCTGCTTCCATAGTGCTGGATTACAGGCAGCCACCACCACCACCACCACCAACACCGCCACCACCACCAACACCGCCACCACCACCAACACCGCCACCACCACCACCGCTACCAGGCTATAGGCTGCTGCGGGGCTACATTGTGGGCAGTTCAGTAAAACCCACTGCTGTACTGTACTTCTATATTCCCATGCCTATACTCCTCACCTTCATTAACCCACACTGACCAGTATGGTGAAGTAAAGTCAAATAATCCCCACAACCCGCATGGCGTGGGGAGGTCCTCATCCAGCAGTGGATCGATGAACGGGCTGCACATTGTCTATGGTCTATGAGCAGTTGCGGTATTGTGGTGTCAGCACACTGCTACAATCTCCCCAACCCAGACTGGAATCCAGTTCATGACTCACATCACGAGTAGCATTCGTTATCTGAACCTGGCTTGGCCCTCCCCTAGATATATTCAGCCTAAAATGACGTCTTGTGCAGTGCGGTTATGAACATGAGCCAGGTTCGTACTGTTCTGACCACGCCACACCATTCCCATACGCCATGCCAACCCTCACGAAGCAAGCATTCCCTCCTGGATACGAGAGCAATTTGTCACATTTCCTTCCCGTGTCATGTATTGTTCGTGTCGAGTCCTTGGTCAATACACTGCTGGACGAAGGCTGAGCCACGCCATGGGAGTTGATGTGGTTGTTTGACCACACTTCGCCACGCAAGGCAATGCGGGTTGGTTCAGGCGTGGTGGTTTGGAGGGGCGTCCAAGTTCTGTTCAGAAATCACTCGCCGCTGACACGCGCTCGCTGGGTTCATAGCGCATCATGCTAACCACTGCACCACTGACTCACCGGGCGTCATGCAAACACATTATGAATAGCGATTGCACGTGGACAAGACAAACAAAATGAGGCTCATGAACACCAAAATACGGTCACATTGTCTTGAGCCATTGAGCGGCCTCCGAGCCAAATTGTGATCGGCTTAAGAAGAACTCATCCAGCAGTGGATACAGCAGTGCTCAGCTTGAGAAGAACGCCGGGGAGTCCGGCACGTACAGAGCATTAATCCTGCATGTGAGCAGCATCCTCCTCAACACCACCACGGTAGCACTGTGTTATGCTGTACAAGCAACACATAGGTAAAGGTGCAGCCCTGCAATTCCTTGGTCACGCAACTGCTTGGAGAAGGGCCTCCACTCGAGGGAGCTCTAGAGAGTCCCTCTCGGGAATATTTGGCCTACTCTTCCACACTGGCCAGATGTCTTGGACGAGGTCGGATAACCCACACTTTGCCCCACCACACGCAGCCTGCCAATTGGCTGTGGTGTATCCATACTGCTGGGTGGACAGAGGCGGGGGAGGTGGGTGATATTTATAAAACTTCCACCACTGTTGCATACTCCTGAGATATCTAACTGAACCTCTGCATCTTAAGTAACATACACAAAATGGATATAAACAGTAAAATATTGTTTTTGACACGCAAACTATTCCCTTCTCAACTGCCCGTTAAAGCGACGAACCTTACATTAAGCCCGAGAGGGGGATTGAGACCGTGGCCGAGTTGAACACCTGGACGGGACACATTCCACGTTTTTCAGACGTCTTGACCACAAGGCTGGGAGAGAGAATGCAGCAGCCCCCTGGTCGCTGCGGTAAATAACGAGGCACCTGCCACATGCGACACGACGCGAGCGCACTGCGATCTTTTCAACCGCGACGTTTGTGTGCTAGGGTGGAACGAGATTGTAAATAGAGGGCACGGATGATTGAAATCGCCGCCGCTTGGATGTGGGAGAGTTCAGTTTGGAGTACGTAATCCCACACGAGAGCCCCCCCCCCCCCCGAGGGCTGTCAGCTCCGTGTCTCCACACGGAGGCATTTTCACCGATGCAGGTGCGCAGATAAAGAGGGAGAGAGTGAGTGAGTGCCAGGTGGGTAAGAGATGGGCGTCACAAGTTGTGTTAAATCATCGCAGGTTGTCTTGGGAACAGACTTGTGCACAGTATTTAGTATAATGCGGGATGCAACCTTGTTTTGCGGGGATATTTTAAAATGCACTTAAGTTTCCACTGCACGTGAAAAAAAAGACTCAATAGGAAAATGGCCAAACTTCCCGGCTAGAAAAATTTCGCAATGGGACTCGGTGAGGATTTCCAGGGTAAGTTAAGAATCACACCATCTCGAGGCTGTGAAATCAAATACATTTCACGGTCATCTAAGGCCACCCCCATCCCCACCGCCCACAGGCTTGATAACACAAATAACAGTGTGTAGATATCAACAGTGGTCATGAAGGGACAGACATCCACCATGGGAAAGTGAAATTTGAATCCAGTGGCCACGGACCACCAATAGAGAAGATCACTGCCCCCAGTGCTCATTTCAACACGCGAAGATCATTCTTAATTGTGACACCGATTAATAAGTGCAGTAATATATCAACAAATATATCCTTATTTACATAAATAAAGGATTCTCAGTGATTAACGTATAATAAAATATACAGGAATATTATGATTTATCTCTAGGATTGTCATTCAAGTTGCATTAATAATTTACCTTTAGAAGCACAGAACCACGCCCCATGCAGGTGCTAGTCGTAAATGTCCTTTATGGCTTTAATCTGTGTGCGATGTGGCTGCCTTGTTTTATTTAACCACATATAAATCATTTTTACGGTCAAGTTTCCACCCACGTGATCTTGCGCAACAATGCAAGGTATATATAGTGTCTGCACAGACATGGGAGTAAAAATTTACTTTCTCAAAGTTGCCAAGAGCATAGCTTTGGCACCGGTATTAAAACTACAAATGACTTGCGCCTAACTTTATGTGACACCCTTCATTTAACCAGGTGAGATACCATTGCGACATATGTCTTCTGACATTCCATTTTTACCCTTTGAGAGCACGGTGATTATAATTGATAAGAGCAGACTAATGTAAAATAAATGTGATGTGATATTGTCCTTTAGTTAAGCAGGTAGGAGGCCCTCTTTGGGATGTATATAAATAAATTATCGTATATCTAAAGGTGATGTAACAGAATTTGTTTAACCACCTGAAAGTTCGTTGGGATCTGTAATCTCTTTCTTCAGTGACAGTCATGAATGGTTGTAGTTAAATAAGGCATTTGAATGCTAGTTTTTTTTATTTTACGTGTTGTTCGCCAGTCATTGTAAAATTTGCGACCGGGGGTATGTCACTGACACACCATACTTTGCTTTTGTAAATAATGTCACTAAAATTAATGCCACGCATCTGTAATTAATGTCCAGCAGTGCCGAGTCTATACTATGGTGGAGCGGTTAGCGTGCTGCTGCTGTTAACCCGGCAACCCGAGTTTGATTTCCGGCCACGGCTAACATCAGTGGTGAGTGATTTCAACGCCAGTCCTTACCTCCACCAACTTTTTCTAACTTGTACTGACCAGCGTGGTGAACTATGGTCATGGCGTAGGGAGGAATGACAGACATTAGTAATCTATGTACAGTACCGTTTATCTATTTATTTTACGCAATGGTAAATGTTTGTCATTTTCATCAGCAATGAATAGGGGCCAGTGATGGGAATCTAACTCGCAACTCTGTGAAAAGTGGCTGTAAGTGGGGAGTGTAGTGACCCCTGGAGAGACCCAGCCACTGAATGCCCTCTTAAGCAGGAGGCATTTACGTGGACAGACAAAGGGGTGAGGTCGGTGAAAACGTTCATTTTATGTATTTAAATTTGATGACAGCTCGCTGAGTGAACAAAACATGTTCTAAAGAATACCTGAACAAAATACTCTACACGGATAAAGTACTGCACGATAGTCTCCGGATTATAAGATACATTTCCCCGATATGAAAAGCAGAAGTTGTGGGTGCGTCTTATAGTCTGCGAGGTGTGTGTGTGTGTTTGACAACTTGTGGATAACTTTATTGACACTGGGCACAAGCTTGGAGTGTGTTTTATTTTCTGAAACGTTTTTTTTAATCTGGAGAATTTGGTACATCTACTACAGTACCGTATGTAAAACAATGGTACTGCATATATTGTAAGACTTACTCATGTTTAGATTTATAATTTAAGTCACGTAAACGATATCGTTTACAAGTTTAATATTCTATGACATATCGTAAATTAAATATTTAGCCAGTAATACAGTATATTAAAGAGTAAATAAAGAAACTAGTGCGCATAAACACAAAATGCTGCAAATGTAATAATAATAAAAACATTACATTCTATATATTGTATATAGAATTTAAAGGGTTTGCCATGATTGTAATCGCAGCTGAATTACGAACAGCAAATCTATTTTGGAAGGTAGCATGGGTTTTGAAATGTGTAATGAGTTCACAAAGATAAAAATCAAGGTTGTTGGAGGACATTACTCAATAACAAATGCATAGTCATGGGTGACAGCAAAGACATACATTTAGTTAGGGCATACATAGATAAAGCCATTGGTATGGACAGCTCGAGATCGATGGACAATGGGAGCAGCCAGGAAGGAGTGACCTACCATTGAGGGAAGGCTGCTGCTGATGATGGGAGTCTTATCTGTGTTGGGATCTTAGGGTCCACAAACTCCCAGACTATACGCTCAAGGCTACAAACTCACCCACTTCCTCCCACACTCCTCCCACCGTCTCCTCCCCGCATTGCCACCCACCACCACCACCCCCCCAGCCTCTGGTCTCTACAACACCCCAGCCTCTTTGGCCCCTCCGCCCTCCTCTCTCAACAGAACTGGACGCAAAGGCAGAGAACGCTGGGCGCGCGCACGTCAGCTCGGTAATCATCGGTGAGTGCGATTCCTTATTACAGAACGTCTACAAACAAACTTTGCCACGCACGTTTTAGACGGTGGCATTCTCAGCGTGGGTAACGCTCACATTAATGGGATGTTGTGTGTAGCCCTGCAGTTATTATGCTGCATGGTATGGTTAACACTTAGGTGAACTTCAAAAGGCACGCGCATATGAATGTTAGACGTGTGAGATAATGTATGTCTATGCATTTATTGCAACACTCATATATATTAAAACATGCCATAATCGACACACAGTATATGTATATGGTAGAGAAATACCTACTATACATCCTGTGTAAAGTACCGTAGTGTGCTGTATAATTGCTGTGATAAAACTTAAGAGTACGTGTTTTATTACAAGACTGCCACACACATATACACTGCATATGTATGCCGCTATTGCAGAGGTATTTAGCTGATGTACATATTGTGCTCAAAGAATCACCAGCCATGATTTATCCACTGCTTTATGTATGTGTATAATGTAGTTTTCATTACTTTCATGTGCATTCCACTACATTGTAAAGCTAAGACTAACGTTAAAATAATCTGTTTTTCTTTATATAAATGGATTGTGATTGCTGCGTACGCAAAATCGGCTGGCATACACACACCAACCCAGTCTTCAATCCATATATATGTACACGTCAATTGTGTGCGTGTATATATATACACAACTATGGGGTATATATAGTTTTTATATTCTGGGCAGTGGATTGACCATGGGTGATGATGATGTATATTCTGGGAATGCATGTGGTGAGCTCACCTGCCACTAAAACCATTTTTAGCATAGTCAGTGGTTCGATTACCACTACAGCTGCATGGTAACGTCTCAAGAAATTAGTCGCCTCCTTATCACACTTCTTATCACGACTAAGAGGGTTGCTGTTTGCAACAACTTCACTTGGTGATTTCTCCACTTGAGTTGAGAACTTTGTCAGGTCTCCTCTACTCTTGTGTGTCTTGCCTCTTTCCTCTCACCGCTCCACTTTGGAATTCCTTCCTACCGTCTCTTTTCCCAAGTTCTTACAACCTTAATTCTAGATTTGAAGCTTTCGTGACTGCAAGGATTCATACTCTTTGGTGTTTTCGGTAAAGTCACGTAGGTAAAACATAAACAAAATAAGTGTTTACATCATTAGACCTCCTTTGCCAGTACCAAAATGTAATAATAGGGTTTTTCCCCTTTTTTCTGGCAACAAAACTGGCGTCATCTGGTCGAGCACCAATTGGGTCGAGGCTGAAAAGAAAGCCGTCCCTTGGTGTGGACCAATCCGTTTCAAGGACAATTCATATATTATCATAGTATGTTTTTTGTTTGCATTTTGACTGCAGGTATTTTGGTTAATGCAGACATGAATCCTTGTAAACAAGGTTTCAGTTTTGTTGCCAGAAAAAAGGGGAAAAACCCTATTATTAAAATAAGTGTTGCGCCCGAAACGTCGTGATTTCATTTAGTTTTCATTTATTTTGTTTATTTTTTACCTACGTGACTTTACCGAGAAAAACCAAAGAGTATATTACAACCTTGCTAAATTCAGGAATTGTGTTTCGTGTTACCTCTTGCACCTTCAATGGTGCTGCTTGTTGCTAGTCGCTTGGTATTTAGGCCCTTCATTGACGAGAAAGTAAGAGTCTGTTGCGACTAAAACTGTTGTCTCCGTGTCTCTCTTTTCTTTCTAAAGGCAGAGCTGGAATTAAATAAAACACAGCATGAGAGCATTGCATGTAAAAACAAAACATGAAATATAAAGTTGGTGATAGACTCTATCGTCATCGTTTATTCGATTCCGTGCTGAACTTATGTAACCATAAACTCCCCTTGATGAAATGGGAATGGATCTCAATGGGTCGTCAGATGGTTAAGTACAGAGTGCACTCTATATATATACATTCATAAAGTATTAATACAGAAAAGGCTTAGAGGACCATTCCAGGCGGTGAAAACCACAGTTCCTATTTCGCACGTCACTCAGTCTTCCCCATTCACTTGCAAATACAAAGCATCGAACATTACTAATGCATGTCGATCGGGAGACATGTGAAGATGGGATCTACTCGACCCCAGATACCCGGAGTTGCCATTCCCTGGTTCTAGGCTACAGTCTAAACGGAGACTATGGAATGTGTGTGTGTGTGTACTTCACAAACGGGCTGGTTCATTTGGCAAGGCAAGTGCCAAAATACCCGATCCCAGGTTGATAGTCATAGCAGTGGCGACAGCCTTGCTGGTCTGGCAACTCGCCATACGAGCAGTCTGGTCGGGTGGGTAGCAGCGAGATCTCAATATGCCCTTTTGTGCTCAGGAAAAGTGTGGTTTCTGGTTTTAATTAGCCGAGAGTCTAATTAAAAAGGTGCCATTCAACCTCACTTAATTGCAAATCACGCACCCACTGGCCACATATCATTGTCTTCTCGAGCGCGTGACGCAACATTTAAAATAATAATCAATGTGTGCCGCTCTATATACAGCACATAATAGAGTGAGACGCTTGTCTGAGCATGGCAACTTTAGCTATGAGGGAAATGAAGTGGTTAATGAAGAAGGAATGTCAATCCATGGATTGACATAACATAATGACCCTTGTATGAGCATACTTCATGGCTTTATTGTAATCTTTGTCTGATAACCTCTCAGCAGGCATTCTGTTTTGCTTCACAAGAGCACATTCGCAATTTTCTGTTCTCTCGATTGGAGTCGAGCTTACACATAGACACGCTTTGTTATCATATATGGCAGAAGTGGCACAGTGGGTAATGCAATACACAAACACCACTGTGACCTGAGTTCGATTTCCTGCCATGGCTAACATCAGTGGTGAGTGATATCTGATCTGGTCCTGGGTTCCCTCAACCTGGACTGAACAATTTGGTCAAGTATTGCGGAACAACTCCCCAGGGGTCGGCTATTTTGGCACATGTTTGCCACAGCTTTTGGAGGCATTCATCTGGCATCATCATCATCATCACGATCCATGGGCAGATAGCCCGTAGATGTCCACTGCACATTGCGTCATTTGATTCCACTGTCCTCTGTCTTGTGCCAATATGCTCAAGTAGTGCCACAACTTTCTTTACCGATCTCTTGTGTCGTCATCAAGCCATGCTCTGTTAGGTCTTCCTCGCTTTTCGGTTCCTTCAAATTTTTACAAGCAACACACTTAATCCAGCAGTGGAGTAAAAAAGGATGTAATTTTTTAAATTATTTGATGATGATGATGATGAGAGCGATATGACTGTGGCTTTTCAGGATTGACCACCAGTCGTGGCCAGTTTAAGACCCAACAGCAACTTCTGAGTTCTCCACACAGTTCCAAAATATCTGGCTTCCATAACTTGGACTAAGTTGTTCACCGTAGCACTTTGTTTCTGGAACTGGCAAAGTGTCCCAAGGGCTTGCGTTGAGCCTCCAGTGCCTTTGAATTGTAGGGCCACATCTGTGGAATACAGTCCCTTTGGAACTGAGATGACGGAATTCTTTACCAAGCTTTAAAACAATACTTTAAACAGATTTATTCCTGAAGATTTTTGGTAGGCACGGTATGCCATAAGTACCTAAATTTGTTTCAGCATTACGGTAGTAGATGTGGTCATGATACTGCAGAATTTAGAACCATTTCAATATTTTATATATTTTGGTTCAGTTTTGAAAATGTTAAAATTAATGTTTAAATGTCGAATCATAGAATGACAAAAAGCCTTATCAACAAAGGCAATGTGGAGATTGTGCATTGAGACTTGTGTCCAGTAGTGTAGTGTGGCTGGCATGGGCCTTCGTGCAAAGAGTAAAATGGGGGCCCCCTTGTCCAATTTCCTCCCCTCTTCGTATACGCTCCGATCCATGGGCTCTCTGGTGTAGTTGCACCACCTTCACCACATTCTAGCTTCACCATTCGATGCTGATGAGTCCGGAGCTGAATTCCGCCATTGATGTTGCTCATATTCTGGCCACAAGTTCCCACAGTGACTCCTGCGAGGCCAATTTTAACCGTGCCATTCAAGGTCGACAAGCCCTGCACTGTGCACGTGCAACACGCGCAGGTCACGCGCACGCACAGAGATGCCTTTATTTTTGTTTTTAATTGGGCAGGATGTGATGAAGGCTCCAGACGATGGGTGGCTATTTCTCTGGCATCGCGTTGAGAATGAGTCGGGAGGAGAGAAACGAGGCCCAATAAGCGAGGGCTCCCGCAGGCCTGAGAGCGCGCGTGTGTAATTGAAAGGAATGCGCACAAGAGTGCGGCGCATTTTAATGCGGCATAGCTGTACCTAATGTGCATTAGAAAGAAAAAAAAAATCGCATTCCAAAGAAGCAGGCATCAAAACCTTTTTCAAACCAGTACAGCATTTGAAGGACCTTTTACATGGACGAAGCAAAAAAACTCACCACGTTCAACATTGACGCGGCAAATGTTGTAAGTTCCAAGAACCAGGTAAGAACTCAAAGAGACGAGGAAAGTTTTATTTTCAAGAGTAACCTGGGGTATTCGTCTGCCAGTCGGGAGAGCGTCGATTGCTGCTGTGTAAACCACATTGAGGACTTTATAAGGCGATATCTGTGAAACACAGTACAATAATATTAACATCTACAGTACGTCGCATATCCAACTCACTGGTGCATAAAGGTTTACTCTCCAACACACCGGTGTGCTGAACTCGTAACTAATTGGCACGTTTTGTTTACGTGAGTCACCATACTAAGTGGCTGTGTAAGGTGGTGGAGGGGTTTGACGTATTTATATTTACGCGATCTCACCCAAAAAATGTTTTATCGATAATATTGGTCGCGAAAGTCTACTACGTATTCAACGAAGGCACAGGTGGACTTTATGTAACGGTCGGATATTGTCAATATCCTTAGAAAAAGATAGTTACACCATGCACAGGTGACAGCAGTTAATTGGTGAGGGTGGATATGTGACAGTTAGATATGCAGTGGTGTACACTATATACTGTGAATATATACGAGAACACAAAATTAGGTATATGCTGTCTTGTTTTGAGGAATAAGATCAACATTTTTCATCACAGATGTTAAACAGACTCCACTGTGAAAGCAGGTGGTTGACTTTGAGGTTTTAGCTCAGAAATATGAAACCTGATAAAAAAAAACATTGGCAAATAATGTCGATATATTTTTATTGCGTGGTATATTTGCCAAGAAACTATATATAAAATATTGTTGTTATTCTGTACAAGTGTCATACTATATTGGGCTGATGGCCAAATTACTCTGAATGTGCCCGATCTTGTCAGACCCAGAAACTAAGTTGGGCTGGGCCTGGATAGAGCTTGGATGGGCAACCACCATGCATGCCAGGTTGTCAATGGGCAGCTTGAGGTACTCTGTGGGCAGCATAGGGCATTTCGGCAACATACGCTGTTGCACTATACCTCTATGCTCCCATATTTATGCTGTCCATCTTTACCAACGCGCACGTTAAAGTATGGTCAAATAACCCCTGACCACTCGAACGGCATAGTGAGGCCCTCATCCAGCAGTGGATTGACAAAAGGGCTGTTTGTGAACATAGCGCAGGTCTGCCTCAAATGAAGAGGCCAGGTCACTTGGTGACTCACATTGCGATAAATACAAAGATTTAGATCCCCCGTATAGATTTCACACAATTTTGGAGCAAGTGCTGTTAGCGAGCACCTATGAAGGCCGGCACGGCACACGAGGGGGTGGATGGCCGGAACCACGCCCGGCCGCCTTTGTCTCCCTAGAGGCGACGTTTAAACACCGCACCAGGTACTCATTTGATGCCCAGTCTATCTAGAGGAGGCCCAGTATCGGCTGAAGATATTCGTCACTGGTGTTGGTGCCCTTGAGCGGGAATGGAACTCGGGTCGCCGGGTTCGTAGCGCAGCGCGCTAACCACCGCGCCACCGCTCCTCTCTCTCACACACTCACACACACGTGCATGCATGCGCCTTCTCGCTCGTCAAACAAAATATGCGGGTCAGAGGGAGCTGTGTGTGCTGAGGTGTCAACGGGCCACTGCAAATATGCAGCGGTGCCGTCGTTTTGCAGCTCGAAGGGCATGCGACGGCCGTTGCTTGCCAACCTTTAGGTTTGTGGCAATCCAAGGCGCCTCTTGTGTTCGATCACTTCTGGGTGTCGTTCTGCCGGGCAGCCTATTGAAAGGAGGGGATTGTTCCCTAAGTCCAGAGATCAAGAAGAAGAAGAATAACTCCCCCTGCCAAACCAGTTGGGCGGGCAAAACTGTCGTTAAAACGGGACCACACCAGCAGTATTTAATAATGCCTGGATCCGGTCACCGAACATTTATGGCTTTGTGTGTGTGGATTATTTTTGTTGTATTCTCAACGCTGCCAATAGATTACATTTAGAGTGCTGTTGATCTCATTGACATTTCATTTCAAATACTGTACTGTACTCGTTAAGGCATTGCATTGAAGGCATTGCTTGTTAAGACGTTGATCGGGCAAACACAAAATATATTTTACTAAAGTAAAAAAAACGAAACTACATTGTTTGTCTCTCTCTGCATGTCTCTCTCCGAGCCTGCATTTACATACAGTTCTCACCTGATGACGGTTGCTTGTGTTGCAATCGAAACGTCATGTTCTATTATTTATTATATTTTTTCTTTCGACGTGACTTTACCGAAAGAACCAAAGAGTGAACTACATTAATTTAGCCATAACATACTGTACACGCGCCTTTTAAGTTGGGGAGAGCCTTAGACGCTGAATGTTATTCCCTTGGTAAGAATAACCATTTATGGGCAGCTATGCATTACTTTTATAAATATGAATTAATTAAATACAATTGGATTTGAGATGTAAGTGATGACATGGGATGGAATAATCTTCAAAAGGAATAAATATAATTAAAGTTTCTTACAGGGAGGGTGAACCGTACACTTCTTCGTGTCCCCTATGTGTCTACGTTATCTTACACAACCAGTTTTTAAAGTACAAGCTTGTTAAAACAAGATGGCATTGTCTCCGTTCACTTCGCAAGAATGACAAGTCCAGTAAAATCGAGTTTACCACCAAATTTGACGGTGGTCACAAGGCAGGTTCATCTTGAGCAAATGACCTTACAGTTCCACCAAATGTTATTTTAAAAATGTGGGTTAATGTGCTCACTCGCTTACAGAGCAACACTTAGCACGCTTGGATGAGCGTGCAAAGAAGCACACCCCACACTCGTAGACAAGACCACGTTTGATCTACTCCGCCACCAGCATATACTGGCACTTGCGTGTTAAAGTATACTTTATTTACTTAATGAATTGAAATTTGATATTGGGCCAGGTGGCACTGTAAGTAGAGTGCTCGACTCACAATTGAAGAGTTTATAGCTCAGCAAAAATGAGTGCCCCCTTGTAGGAAGTCAACAGTGGTTGTCCTTTGGAAAGACTGGCACCTGCCATGTGAATGTGGAATTTTCACCACTGGCTCAGGGGCTGCCAACGAAAATGTGCGCCGCCCCAATGCCCGTTTAAGCATAAACACTTGGGGATTTTGACCTTAAATTTACCATTCATGACAACCCACAAGGCAGTACAACACGATCCATTGTTGAAATGTACATTTGTGCTCCCATGCCTATGTTGCCTGTCTTCATCAATTTGCATTGACCAGCATAATGAAGTATGGTCAACGGCCATGAATCGCACTGCGCGGAGAGGCTCTCTCAGACAGCAGTCATTGATTAGTGGGCTGTGCATGTGACAACTCCTCTAAGTTTACTTGGAATATCGTAACCACCTCGCCAACAATACTTGTGCGATGTATTTTAAAAGGAGGTAACATACAAAATGTGGGGAATTGCAACATGCTCCCTGGATTGCACCTGTAATTGTGGGTCAATTTCTCAAGAATACTGCCCTGTCACTAGATCACAATGGCCTACACTCACAACCAAAGTCACGGAATCATGTTTTAAGTCAAATATCAACTTACCTTTCACAGATAATACAGCAGAGCTGGGAAAACAGAACACAAAAGGGTAAAGTTCAAATCCGATTCACATGCACGTGATGTCATAGCACCTTTTAACATGCGTTGCAGTTGCTCAAAGCTTCCAATCTCTGGTCTCAGATGTAAGGTGTTTACCACTGTGCGATGGAGCCACCCTCAACAAAACACGATCTGGCCGCATCAGTGATGCCGCAGCCTACGTGATGAGATATTCATTGTCGCTCTGCTTGTGCGTGCTTTTCTGGCAAGGGCACTGCTCATAGGTTCACTGTCGACTCCTGGACGCAATGGACACCATGATGCAAGCGCTGAAGGACCTCAAGCTCCTACAACTCCAAACGTCCATGGACAGCGGAGGCACGGCCAGCGTAGCCGACGCTGCCGCCGCCGCTGCTGCTGCACACAAGCGGGGCTTGCATCAGGCCACGTACCCCACCCCGCCAAACCACGTCAGCTCAACAAGCTGCAACAGCTGCACAAGGAATTCATTTCGAAGAGAGGAGAGCGACACCTGCCACCACTGGGCCTCCCGGGCAGAGGACGGGCCCTCGAACGTGCGGCGCGCCGACTGGACGGCGTGCCTGCTGTCGGCAGAGGGCAGGAAGCGACAGCCCATCGTGCTGGGAGACAACAGCTTCGCCGACCTCATCACGGACTGGATAGAAGCCGCCGAGCCACCGTCCGAGAAACTGCCCAGCAGCAGCGTGAAAGCGTCCTCGCCGCTGGAGAGCTGCAAGAGGCTCTTCGGCATGGGTGGGAGCCTGCAGCGGAAACTCTCTAGCCTCAGGCCAGGCAGGAAGGTCCACAGCAAGGCGTACAAAGTTAGGGACGGCGAGCAGGCGGTACGCAAGCATCCCACCGAACAGCTCAAGGCGGAGGCGAGAAAGTGCCAGGCGCCTTACGACCTGTTCAACTCGCACGCACGGTGCCAGGCTGCACGTGTACACAAGGCATTGTGAGGCGTTTTGCGTCGGGGCAGTTGAACAGTCGGTGTTCAAAGGTCACGAAGAACTTGTGCCCCGTGTACATTTTCAGACATCAACAGTGGCTTGATTTCTCTTGGACCCTTGAATTGGGCATTTATTGAATACGATATGCTCAATAATTATGTCAGTGGATTTGAAAGGAAAGTGCCCTGAAAGGTTTTAGCGTTGCAGTGAAAATGGAAACTGGGTACCCTGGTGGTGGCCACCTGTTTCAATGTATCGGGTAACCTTTAGGTGTTGTATATGAACTTGAGACCGTTTAAAAAAAGAAATCGCAACAGCTGACGCTCTTTAATGAGCCACTTTGTTTTCGTGAGGGCTTTTTGAACAATTGCTTAATGGAAGAGCGTGCAGAAATTCCAACCACAGAAACCCCCTCCGATAGAAAAGTCAATTTAAAAAGGAAATCGCTGGGCGTCAACTCTCCAAAGTGTGCCTTCAAAACAGGACTTAACTTCCACTTAAAACCTCGACTCAAACCAGCTGTGTTGGCAAAGGGCCTTTCTCGGCAGCGCGATACAACTCGTAACGACGTGCTGAGTATACATCACGAACTAGCAACACGCAGCCGTGTTCTTTTCAGATGAAGCACAAGAGACCTTGATTACATATTTTACAAAGTTACAGCGGCAGCGTGGACTGAATACTGTGGCTGCCTGGTGATCCGTACTTGATAAAGTTTAACATTTGGCAGCGGTCGGCTTTCCAAAAATAAAAAGTATTAAAATGTTTATATTGTTGCAGTTGTTTTGCAAAGATTAAAATCGTGTACTTGTTCAAAAACGTTGTAAACCTAATTGCGATTCTTTCGAGGGGAAGGCAAAGGCATGCACATTTTTGCACGCCTGAAACGCACCAATATGCACAGCTGGATGATGAATTTTAAGTCGTAAATTGCATCGACTACTGTGTTTATTAATAAAAATGGACAGTGGCTTTGCAAAATATGTTCAATAGAAATATATCCCTATTGGAACAATTAAAACTAGGCATTAACTACAGCTTTACCTCCAATTATAAAGCATTAGAACGCCTCACAAAGCATGTATTGTACATCAAATGCTCTTATCCACAATGGACAAAAGAGTTGGAAGATAATTGAAGAGTAATTTTTCACGTAATCTGTGAGAATGCCTCTTATCCACGATCACGTGATATTGGCAATTGCGAGATGTCGACCTGAAAAGAACAGGCCTGAGGACTGGCTGAGCCAAGTTGTGGATGGGTTTACTGTATTCACTCGAAGTCCAATACACTCCTGGCAATGTTAACAGTTTAACGCATCGGCTGCTTTAACGTATCTCACAATTAGTCTGAACACTTGAAAACTTTTTATAAGATGCAATGTAGCTGCTTCAGGTTGTGTTATTAGTTAACAAAAAGTACACTATTTTCGGAGCAATAAGCTTTCTTCAATAACTCACCACCTGCTCATTAACTATTAAACACAAGCACAGGAATGCTTTATAGTTAAACTACGATAGTGATATTTGTACAATTTCCAAAACATGTGTTAAATATAAACTTGCCTACGCAGCACCACCTAATAGTAGATTCACTATACCTGTTCCCTTCTACGAGCAGATATCTTTGACAAGCGTATGGTAGGAGGCATCAGTTTTGCTCCTCGGCGTAATGATGAAGTGCCTATATTTTTTCCCCACTCAAGTGCCTCCAAAACATTTATGCTTCCTGCAAGAGCATATAAAAGTGGAGCTTCTTTTGCAGAAGGCCCCAGGGTGGAAAGGGGAATGCACTAGGTTTTGAAACAGCACGTGACCCAAACATCAACAACAATCACGGATCAAAATCCTTTATTCCATTCCACATCAACAGTTGGGATTGTACAAAACAAAACAGTGGGTGGAGAGAGAGAGGGACGAGGGGGTAGGGGTGGCGTGGCAAAGAAAGGAAACAATAACATCCAAGTGTTACACTTTTTTATGTTTTGCTGCACCGATGTGCTCAACGTCAGAGGTTATTCAAGATGTAATATTATTATTAAAGCCTTCCACAGCGACCATTCCCTAAAGCAGTGCGAACGACAGAGTGATGCCGGGGGCCAGCGGAGCGTGCAGCCTGTGTGGCGCCTCGGCGGAGTGCGCATCCTAAAGTGCAGGGGGTTGCGCGTGTTGCACGGACACCGGGCAGCAGCGCGCACGGCCCTCTCCTCCCGTAGCATGTTTCAAACCTTGCCTCCCCCCCCCCCTCCGCTTCTAGGTCACATTATCAACAAATGTCAGCGGTGTATAGTGCAACCGGAACGCACGTAAAGCAGGGATGGCTACAGCCGTGCACCCGATTTTATCGCTAGCTGATTTTTGTTATTGTTTTTAGTATTCCCCTAAAATATTTATTTTTAAAGTCTGTAATTGGATCAGACACTTCCCAGAAGACACATGCTACAGGTAAGCAATCATCTCTGCTGCGCTATCATGTGCCTTGCGGTCCTGCGGTGGGGTTAGCTATCGCCGCACACTAACGAGAGAGAGTGGAGGTGTAATGTGGTGCGAGTGAAGGAGGAGCGAGGGAAGTTGGTGGGGGGTGGCTTGGCAGGGCGGGTTGTAGGCTGGGAGCGCGCTCCGCTTAGCGGAATGTGTACTTGACGTAAGGGACCTCCAAGTCCTCGTTGTTGGTGTCATTGCAGCACAGCTCAAAGACCAGTGCCTTCACATGCTTGCCTATCTTCTTCTTCGACACTTTGGTGACAATTTCAGTCATCCTGAGGGCAAACACGTGCACACACGCACAGCTGAGCACATGTGGAGTGGTTGGGATTGAAGGCATGTGGCAGTAGCACATAGGCTTATGTTGTAACACAGCAGCTGAGTGTTTTAAGAAGTGCATCTGAGGCAACCACGACTTAAAAGCACACAGGACGCAATTGACAGCCGTTTTTTTATGGGATGTCATGCAAAATGTGGACTGATAGCTAAAGAGGACAATAAGACCATGGGGTCTAGAGCATATACTTTCATTATTATACTCAATCACTTGGGATTGTAAACCTTAAGATTGTTTTCTGAAAAGGTCTATAAACATATATTATTCACATGATATTTAATCATGTGGTCACCGCAAAGTGAATTTTAAAGGTCAAAGAAATGGCTACCACTTTAGTTTTTTCACCTTAGACCATAAACATTTCTACCCAGCCAATGGGGACATTTTGTGCACATTGTATTACAACACAAAAAAACAAAGCTGCAACGTTGCGTGACAGTGCGGAATTACGCTTTCTTGACAAAAGCAGTCTCCTCACTTCTGGTCCAGGCGCTCCTTGAGCTTGGCCTGGCCCATGAAGAACGAGTAGAGCATGGAGACGCCTTGCGACAGCATCATGATCTTCAGCTCATGCTTCTCCTGTAGGGAAAGAATGCCACAGGGTGCATAAACAATACTCTAAGATCCACCATTTTAGCATGTCTTGTTCGGGGCGAGTGCAAGTTAGTGAGCACCTATCAAGGCTGGCACGGCACACAAAGGTGTGGTCTGGCCATTGCCATGCCCGGGCCACCTTTGTCTCACCAGTGCTTCAGCCTGCACATGGCACCAAAGACACTCGGTTAAGGCTAAGTCAACCCTGGACCAGTTCAGATAATTGCCACCCATGTCAGCTGCGACCTGTTAAGGTGAACTGGCATGAAATGCAATTTTACCAGCAAGCAGATGGAAGTGAAGCAACAGGATTATATCCAACGTATGCCAATAATACAGAAGCAAAAAACTAATCTCAAAGTCTTAACAATTAGCAACATTACACACCATTTTTATGTCAAATTTTCTTAAATCAAATCCTTTTCTAAACTTTTCATATTCAAATAATTCTCAGGCTGACAATATTAATAATAGTGGCAAGTTATTTACTCACTTTTGAGGCTCAAGAACCTTTAGAAAAGTAATTATGAGATTGTTTTGGTATGTGGGAAGAGTGCACACGGATGAAACCAGGCATATAATTGGAAAACAGAGAAGTCAGGACAGATTGGTCAATTACCTACCCCTTGGCCTCATGTAGGTGGCCTCACATAATTCACATACCAAGTGTCGGGAAATCACGAATAAGTGTTCAAGCACTTAACATCAATCCACAGGTCACCCTCGCTTTATGTGTTAAAATGCATTCCGAATTTTTTTGGTTTTTAAACCGCACAAGACACATGCGTGCAGGGTAGCGCAAACAGTACGCACAATATTGTCCCATGTCCGACCGCATCGCCGCATATGATTGAATTCAAAACAGCACGAAGCAAATTTGGAGTCGAAATAGATGAACTGCATAAAAACAAAAATCGCACAAACTTAAACCCGCGTAAAGCGAGGGAAATCTTTAGCCGCTGCCGCCACATCCACGCACAACAGAGGTGCCATTCATGTTGAGGAGCTGACGGCTCTAAAGGCCAAGTCTGAATGGCCGGGCGTTTAACCACGGGGTGCACAATACGGTTGATTATGTCGGTGAACGCACCAAAAAGTAGGCCGTGAATTCTTTGAGTGTCATCTCCTCTCCATTCTCTTGGATGCCGTTCACCTCAAAGCGGTCCCAGAGGCTCCACTCTGTGTCGTAGTACTGAAATGACAACAGCACCTTGCCGCCTTAGAAAAACCAGCCAACACAGCACCTACGATTAGCACGGTTGGCTACGTACGGTGCAAAAGTTCAACATACATACTGCACTTACACATTACATTCAAATGTTATTTCTTTCACTTCAATATGTTCAAAACATATTTGTATTAGGTAAAAATTCTATATTGAGTAACCATGCTGTAAAGCTTCAAAATATGTTGCCCTCCTCTCCATGCTTTGAAGCACCACTGTCCATGACATTATATTAGGCATTTTGAGTTCTAAGGCAGTTTGTTAATTGTAATAGTAACAACGCATATTCAGGTTCTTATAAAAGCAAAATTATAAATTCCACTCTCAAGCTTATATACATTTTTTTTAACAAATAGCACACATGATAAATTCAAAAAGTTCATATTTGCTCATTTAGGTGCTTATTAAAATCAGATGAGAATAGCACGCAATTACTTGAACGCAATTTTTGATAGGATGACACACCTACATTCGAGATATTTAAAGAGTATGCATGACATTACATAAGAAACAAATGCATTTGAGCAACCTGTAAAGTGTTGCACAGATTCTTCGAGTCTTATCAAACAATTGGCCACGTACTTTACAACGAATCTACACGTCACTGTGGACAAGCGCAAACTATGCAAATGTGGACTCCGGCGGTGGTGTCCGCTGGCGCAAGCGGTGCCTCTGACCACGTGCTTGGGCGCAGCGATGGGCTCGGAGAAGCCGAAGAACGGCAGCGCCAAGTTCATGAAGCCGTTCTTGAACGACTCGAGCTTCTTGTTGCCGTTGACGATCTTGTAGAGCTCCAGGCACACGAGCCCCACCACGGCCGCCGTGGTCGTGGCGATGGCCGGGATGATCTTGCCCGCGATCAGTTTGCTCTGCGTGGCAAGGAGTCGCAAGCCCCAGGTTAGTACCGCAGCGATCGACCAAACTGCCCGGCTCGTCCGTCAACCTCCGTGGGCGCTAGCTAAGAAGCGGCAGGAGAATTATATTTAAAAGGCCAAAATGTGTATTTGGTATTTTTGTTTTTACCTTGGTTGTTGAGTACAGGTCTAAAAGCCCAAATTACCAAGTGGCCAGCAACCAACAGCCAGTCTATCCACAACATAAGCACTACTGGCTATCCACGGTTTTAGTAACCCATGGGAAATGATGGGCTGACCTGATACCACTCTAACCAAAGCGACATATAGTAGTCATTAAGAAGTAATGTGAATAAAAGGGCTTTGTGAAAAATATTTATTTAAGAAGTACTCTGTGTAACAAGTATGAGTGTAGTGTATAGAGGGGGCAAAAGCTGCACCTTGTGCCTGTCGGCAGGGCTGATGTCGTAGTTCTCGGCGCGCAGGTTCGAGGCGGCGACAATGAAGTCCATGTGGAAATTCGCATCGTCGTCCTGTGAAGGTCGCCAGGTCACGTTAAACAAAAGCTGAACGGAGCCAGGGGCGCGCGCAGTCGGGGCACGCAGCGCAACAACACTGAAGCTACTCTTTTCATCATTTAAAACCAATACAACGATCTATATTCATTAATTATTCAAAACTACTCAAATGAAAATCATAATTATCATCTATCTGCTATTGGGTGAAAGCCTCCCCAAACCATTGCCTTGCTGGCATTAAAGCAATGCTGCTACAATGATACACTCCCTCAAGGTCGTGTAGCCGATGGAAAGTTAGAGGCCATTTTAATGAGGACGAATGACTAAAATCAAGGCATACCATGGTTAAAGCAGAAACCCAGCTTTCCATGTCTTATCTATATATATAAAAAAGGGAAATTTGTGAATGTGTGTCTGTTCGAAATTTTTAGCATACTTCCCGACATGCAAAAAACTTGAAGTTTGGCATGTGGGTAGCTTCCAGAGTGTACACAATGCAAAAAGTATAAAAATATACTTTTGCATTATGGGGGGGGCGCAATAATAGATATATATTGCACGGTAAGTGAGCGGTGACGTCACATCTGTGATGTCACCCGCATGCGGCAGCGTCACGCAGTGTGCCTGCTGACGTCACGCATCCGCCCCCCACCCTCCGTGTAGGCCATGTATTAATCCAAGACAAGTCCCGGGCGAAGCCGGGTCGTAAAGCTAGTGTGCACTAAATTACTGAAGGGGTTGTTTTATTATGTACAGTGGGAAAGAAGTCCAACATGAAAACATTATAAACATTTTAATTTAGGTAGGAAATGTTGGATGTAACAGCACCAAAAGAAAGCCTCTACTTTTGCAAGTGACAGCACCACAAAATGTCTTTCACATCCGGTTTGCAGCAAATGGCTCGTGCTTTCCTCACCCGGTGCACACGTGACTGGGTGAGTGGAAACTGCGCGCACACTTGGCTCCGTAGTGAGCGGGCTCGACGGTGTGGCTCCCCAGGGGCTGTGCGAGTGAGCACCGCTTACAACGCCGCGGCCGCGGAGCGGAGGGAGGGGACTGCAGGTGTCTGTCGGGCACTTGCCGTGAAGCGAGGGCACCATTGAGTATGCGGGCGACGTGGGAATTATGTTACCCACAGGGAGGATTATCGCCCTGCCTTTCAAGAGGAGTGCACGGGTCACGGCGAGTACAGCAGCTGCCGAGACGGATTAGCGAGCAGCACAGCTGAAGCGGTTTCCGGTGCTTACCTTCTCAAACTCGATGGGCACCATCCTAAAGTTGTTGAGGGTGTCCAACGACGAGAGGGTGTTCTTCACTTCTTCCAGCTTGTCATCGTCTGGCAAGAAAAACAACATGAAAGAAAATAAAGAGATAAACGCCCTTTATTCAACCATGCTGCTCTCAGACAATCAATAATTTTTCAGGTGAGCGCTACATTGGGATGTATGGCCATTGTAATTTTGACTAAATTTGCACGTGGAAGAAATCTAGAGCACGCAGAAATAGCACATGGATTTTAGGGGATAATGCTCAAAAGTCAATGCAGCTGTGATAACAAAGTTGTGGAAAAAGGTTTTACTGCTGTTCCCACATGTGCCACTGGACGGGAGGTGATGGGCAGGGCTTGGTGACGCCATCGGCATCATCAGCCTCGTCTCGCTGGGTGTGGTTTGCAGGATGTATGTGGTTGACTGCCATTTTTAAAGGGGCCCAAGTAATGGACCACAAAAAAGTATTACTGTTTTTGTTGACTTAATGACTAATCATTGCAGCGCCGATTTAGTTTCTGTAGGAGCGTGTGTATTTGGAACGGTGGCACATTGGTTCGTTTTACAATCGTGATGACCAGAGTTAGACTCCACAGCTATGCACATCATTGGCCAGCGTTATCACGCAGCCTGCGAGAAATACTTGTCGTTGCTCTGCGTGAATGACCATCAGCACAAGGGAGACAAATGTGGCTGAGCGTGGTTGTTGGCCGCATCACTCTTATGCCATTCCAACCGAAGTTAGTTGTATATACGTCGAACTTCTTTTGCACAGTACGTAGCTAACCGTGCTAATCGGAGGGACGGGACTCGCGTCACAACAATTACTCGGTTCTGGTCTACCAAGTCGAAAATGGGAGACGTCTGAATGTGTGTGTGTGTGTGTGCACGCATCTGTGAACATAACAGATGTGTGTCGTTCCTCACCCATGGAGCCAGTTGCCGCATTCTGCAACTCCTGGTCCGAGACGTGGATGGTGATGCCGGACCGCGGCACGTACTCAGGCACCTTGACGTGGGCGAGCACTTCGGCGGTGGCAACACGATCGCGCGACCCCTTGATGCCGTACATCGTCGCGAACAGGTTCGCCCCCGCCATCACGTAGTCCATGTGCAGGACC